GAAAAATGCCGATACAAAAATCGATTGCGTATACAGATATTCGATCAACATGTCACAGAAGAAAATCGAAGGTCGTGAAACATTTCATGCATGATGTAATCGTGTGACCTGCTATGGTTACTATAAATTCCAAATCTGATCGTCTAGCTCGTGACATATGTGAAACTGTGCATATTTACATAGTAAATACTCATGGGCTTGCATCGCTCCAGTTCCACATTCCCTGAATCTACTATTTCCATACCTAAATGAGGCCAGAAATGAGCGGAGGGAGCGTTTTAAAAGAACTGTATATTTACATTGTGATTATTCGTCACTTCTTTTTACCTGTGTTATTGATATATTAACAATTGGCATGTTTACCTTAACATTCTTATCAGCAGAAAAATTTGTTCCATTATACAACTTTTTAAGAACCAGTTCCTTAGATAAAATCACCACTTCTAATATAATTACACAACAATGGAATTGTTTCAAAATTCAAATGGAGCAAGAAAATTCGACTGCCTTATGAAAATCTTAAAAGAAACAGAAAGTGAAATCATTGATAAAGAACGTAAACAGTATCTTAAGTTATTGCAAGATATTAGCCAGGTGAATTATACCACTTTGATGTTTGTATAATGGAGAATAAAATGATGAATATGACATTTAGACATTAATAAGTATAATACGATTGAAAAAGCGACATATTGTCAGCGAGAATCTCTTTCATTATATTTATTATGATTTTAAAACAACAATACCGGCTATTTCTAATTAGGATAGATATTTGTGCAAAAAAAAATGATGATGTTACTCTGAATTTTATTAACCCATTCGTATTTTTATAAATGTGATTTATTAGAAATGAATTGTTATCATTAAAAGATATGGGATTCTTACGAGGAAAATTCAAAGAAAGAATAAATTGGAAAGCTTTAGCCTTAAATAGTATAGCGATTTTGAAAGATAAAATCAAGGTAATCAATTATTTACTACTTGAAACTTTCCATAAAACTAACTCTCATTTTGATTCATTAGAAGAAGGATATACGGCCACATGAATATATTTTCACAAAAATAAGCAATATAGATGTTGATGAATTATCAAACGATGACCCATTATATATTGGAATAATCGATCTTAGTTTAGACAAATATAATATTCCGGAGAGTGATTACGAATCTCTTGTTGTACGTATATTTTTTCTTTATGAAGTGAACATTATTGGTTCTGAGATCGAAGTAATAGATAAGACTTTAATATGGATCTTGTATTAGCAAAGTTGGCACGGCTAAAGATAATTGCTTATCATCTATTAATCTTAATAGGATAAGAAGGCTAATATAAGAAATTTGAGCAAAGATGTTGTGGTAAAGAATATATGTAATGATTTTATATCAAAGAGGAATGACGTTCAGAAATTACGGAAATTTGTATTGCTTTCGAGGGACGTAGTGACGCATGATCAATGGGTTGAGGACGATCATATTAAGGAACATATAGCACGTGGAATTACTGATGTTCTTTTGCAAAAAATTAAGTTGAATGTACTCCGAAGAGTTTCCAGAGGTTCGGAAAACACACTAATGGAAATTATTGCTTGTTTGATAGATATGGCTATACATCACTTACCTATGGATTATGAGGTTGAAGTTATCAGGGCCGAACGTCAAAGTACAGCTAGCAAAAATTGCAAAGCTTAGCAAAAAAGTGGATCAAGAGGGGATAAACCCGATCTCATATTCTGTGCTCACCTTTGTCAAAAATAGGAAGAAATTGTATTCTTCGAAAGTGGAAAGTGGGATGCTAATGAAGATAAGATTTGTCATGACCATAATAAATTAGTACAACTCTGTTTGGACAGATCTAAAGAGCTTGTAAAAAAATGTTCAAAAGAAACCTTTTACCAAAGTTATATAGGATTTGATGTTAATATTGCAGGTAAGTATATTGAGATCCATGGATTGATAAAGAAAAAAGGAGTGAAGTACCATCTCCCAGTCGTTAAAGCGAAAATACCTTTGGGTAAAGAATCAGTTGAGGAAGTAGAAGAGTTTGTTCATGCCCTATTGACTTTGCGAGTGGGTATTCTTTCAACTATGTTATATAAATTTCTGTATATTCGTTGTATTATGTTACTTATACAAAATGATCTATGATCTCAGAATGGAGTTATTGTAAATTTACAGAGTATTGTAAACGGTTTAAAAAAAAGATCAAGAAAAACGAGTAATATAAGCTCCCCTCCATGTGAAGTTGATAAATTAAACAAGAAAAGGAGCTCAAATTTCTAGAATAACTCATATTCCTGTCCTGTACTTTATTTCGCATATATCAATAAAGCTGGCCCTGATAGTTGAATTATCATATATTTATATACTTTGTTATTTGTGTACGATTTTTTCTTCTGGTAATTATGCACATGATGTTCCTCGAACTTCTATGTCGATCCCAATCTTATGTGATTGGTTAATAATTTTCTGATGGTCAACGGTTTTTTAATTATTCTGATTGGATGGACCGCACCGGGAAAATGCGAGAGGAATAGATTGATTGGGTAATCGTCATATATATATCCTTACCGATTACATTTCCACGTTTTTAGCAAAAGTATATGCTATTCTTCTAGAGTAAGACATCAGTATTTTTCGATCATATAGATCTCTCTGATAATTTTTTTCTATATAAAACTCAATGTGACGCCATAAAATAGGAGCACCGCAATGATATCAAAAGTAGTTGACAAATAAAGTAGGATAGAGGAATCGATCAATTTCTAAAAAATATAAGATTTGTTCTAGTAATTCTGATAAATCAAAATATTAAGCTGTTGCATCATTCTTAAGCAATATATATCTTTAATCGAAAAAATAACTAATATTAGATAATTGGTTCACATGTTTAGGTATCAAATTTTAAAAGTAACTTTACTCGTTGATAATATTGATCTTTGGCTTGCTTCATAAAGTATCCACCTGGTCGATAGAGCCACTCAATTACTGCGTACTGAATTATTTTAGCGGAATTAATTTGTCTTCTCCATAAACAATATGTCTGCTAGATAATTAATGACACACGATTTTCTTTATATAATGCTAGTTGAACTTTAAAATTTCTATAATTAGGATCATTACCTATTTGCTAATGGCTGGTTAAATTATTTTTGATGTGAAATATAAAATTTTCCCAATAATCTCTACTATTTATTTCATATCTTAGTTTTAATAAATGTTTGCGTACATATTTTGGTGGATAATATTTTGCAAACCGTAACCATGCTTCTGACGTTTTAATATTGTTAACAATATAATTTTCACCATATTCACTTAACCTATCTCGTAGGTCCTCTAGACTATTGCTTTGTAATACTCTGCTATAGCTCATGATATATTTGTATTTTCAGATGTATCTAATATATTTAATTGCGAAAAAATTGGGTTTTGAAAAAGATAAAAGTTTACCCAATAGCGAAACTAGTGCCAAGATGCATATTACTGATAAAGCTGTATTTGGCATTGTTAAACAAGTATCAGGTAAAAAAAAACTGAACCTTTTTTCACAGATTACTGGAGATAGTGAAACCTGAGATTGGGCTAAAGATTATTATTGACTTAATAACAAACCCCAACATTTCTCGAAGAAATCATACACTATGCAAGGCTAAAAGAAAAAAAAAATTTAAATAATACCGCATCTGAGTCTTCGTCTTCATCTGGGTCTGACTCTGAATTGTCTAATGATAATAAAGATTTTATTGTAGATGTGGTAAAAGTAAAGAAACGTGATTAGTTTTCATCATAAAGATGAAATGGTCTTGCTTGATCAGGAAATTGTCCCTTCCTGCGATAATTCACTACAACATAATTTTGCACAGGAGAAGTATGGTTATCAGATAAGTGACGCAAGGCTTCCCTAACAATAGTATAGGCATGAGCCATATTCTTTGCCCCATGTATTACCACAGCATATACTGCTCCTAATTTACGTAAATATTTAGGAATTAAATCATAGTCTTTTAAAAATCTATTAAACCATTTAACACCTGGCTTACCTGGATTACCCATTCGACCAGAAGATATAGAATTCTGTATCCAGATTAGTAATTCTTTGGCTCATTCTTGATCTTTTTCCATAGATCTAAATTTTCGAGAAATATTTGCCTGACCTCTGTTCTTCACATAACTCGTTACTCCAGAGTCTGTAATACATAAAGTTATAAGTTCAGCAAGGCGAATACAAAGCATCACCATAATATCAGCAAGGGCCAAATAATCGGGTGGAGTTTTTAAATTATACGCATTCAATCTTTCTTTGATCGATTCTAATGTAAATTCATCTGGATAATTAATAGGATTAGCTTTGGCTTTTTTCTGATTGTCTCTCTGGATTTTGTTAGCTTCTTCTGTAAAATCTGGAAATTTTGTGGCCTCGACTATTGTGGGTAAAGCACCAAGATTTCTTAATTCTTTTCTGAGTCGAGAAAGATGTGATGAACCAGCGTTAATATTTTTTGCTAATAGGGCTAAGGCATAAGCTTCAGCTCTTATATCTCGAATACTAAGTTTATCCTGTAAAAGCCGATATGCCATCTCTCCAATTGTTACTCGTGTAGCCTGATTGGAAATAACAATGTTTACTGTGGAACAGGGCACTTTGTGTGTAGTTTTGCTTTTTGGTTGAACACTTTTCTGAATAGATAGGTGACATAAGTCACTTTGCAAATCAAATAAGTTATCAACTTGACCCTCACTAAACCCATATCTATTTTGCAAAATTCGTTTTGCTTTCTCTCTGATAATCTCTTCTTCCGAATTTTTTGAAGGCTTGATTACAACTATTTGACAATTACTTTCAACTAAATTTATAATTTTATTTTTCCCACCTCTCTGATTCGGTATTAATATACTTACCTGCTCATTGGTAAATTTGAATCTTTCTTGAAGACACCTTCGTGCCTGATTTCTTTTTCTATCATCGGTAAGATTTTTGAGAAACTCTGAGGTGTATCGACTGAGATCAGTCACATTCATTTCGGGGCTGAGATTGTATTTTTTCTATGATTTTAGTTGCAATGGCTGACATGATTGAATGTTATAATAGGTCAGGTAGTTTATGAACAGTGCTTTAGGTTATATACACTGTAAAAAATATTTTTTCAAATCGAAATTAATTATCTTGGATCAATATATCTAGTATTACCTAAAAAATTGAATGAGTCTCGGTTATTGTAATTCTATCGGAAAATGGACGCGAACAAGACACAGAATAGATCGAAGGTTTTAGAATCCATAACTTTGCGTAATAAAATCACTAAAAATATCAATAGGATCAAAAAAGATATAGCATTACTTAGAGAGGTTCTGGAAAAAATAATCAATATACATGTATGCCAGATATATGATAGACGTCAATATCTTGGGACTAATCTGCCGATTTGAAATATACCATACATAGAATATAATGAAAAAAAAAATTATAGCTTTGGAGTTGCAATCCAGGCTATATTAAGATTTATGATTTATTTTTATTTTTTATGTGTCAAAGACACTAGCATCGCTATAATGCTTGGAATAAATTCTGATATATTTCTATACTTATCGACCATTTCTTATAAATATCGGGTCTATTTTCCATTATATCAATTGGTGGTATCATAGCTGGATAGGACAGAGCTTTCATGAATCTAATTTGCTCAGGATAATAATAATCCATAATATTCGGTAATTGTAGAAATTCTGCTAAATCTTTTATGTACCTAAAACCATTGTGCATTAGTTTGCAAAATGTTGGCCCATTGTAATCGATCTCTCTCTTGGTTAATAAGTTGACTACTTTCTGGGGTGTTTCCATTTTTAGGTGTGATGTATAGTGCCAATATATGTTTGATTATATTGTTACAAAATACTTTGAAAAGGTTTAAATTGATTTTATATTAAATATATTTACATAAAAAAGTGAAATGGGCTTTATACGTTATATATTAAATCACTTTGAATAGGGTATCCAACCAGTCAATACGTTAAAGAAGACGATTCGGAGTGTTCAACATATTAATATGTTAAAAAAGATAGTCCGGGGCATTCAATCTGCCCATATGTTAAAAGAGATGGTTCGATTTGTGGAAAAAGTTGTTGGCGGAACATAGGGTGCTTGTTGCACTGGAAATTATATAATACGAATATAGCAAAATTTCCTTGTGGGATCTGTAGAAAACTAACAATTTCTGGGACGGGATATTGTCCTAAACATGCGAAGAGGGTTTATTTTCGAAATTGGTATGAGAAACAAAAGGTATAGAGAATAGAAGCAGATGAATAATTATACTCACTTTTATTAGATATTAGTTTTAAGCGTCACAAAAATGGTCTTCGTAATGGGATATTTTTTACAACTATCATTTTTAAGCGTCACAAAAATCCCCCTTTGTAAGATATATCATGGATCCTAAATACCCGCTTTAAATGATATTGAATAAATCCTGGGTATTTTGTGAGATAGAATTAGGAGGTGGTTCTAATTCATCAGGTGAGAGTTTACTATAAGAATATCGCCAATCTTCCCCATTTTTCCAATCCTCACCTGTTTGGTATGCTGATAATTCTGGTACATATGCCTTATCGAATACACCTACTAAACTGTAGTATCTAAGACTTTTGTCAGTAACTTTTAATTTTAATCCATAAGTCGCATAAAGTGCTGAATTCAATAAACCAAGTTTTGATTTAAGAGTTTTTAATCCAGTTTTTTTAGCACATTGGGATGAATCTGTATTATCAAAAACCTGAGACATTTTTGGAACTAGTTCTTGAAGGTATTTTATAGATACATGTGATTCTAAATATGATTTAACAATATCAGCTTTATATCTACTCCGATTATCAATATTTTTAACAGGTGTACAAGTCTTTAGTAGATCCAGACAAATTCTATGTTTTTCAGCTCTAGTAACAGTTGTGAGCCTATCATCTCTATAATCTTCACAGGTAATGGCCTCAACTGCTGACTTATTATCAGTGCTTGCATCCCATAATTTCTGGAGAGCTCTAAACCAGCGCATATGATTATAATTTCCAAACTCTGAGATGAATTCTTCAGTCAAAGTCTCAGGTATTATATCATAGCAATTCACAATATGGTGTTGGTCTAATGCTCACATTTCTTCTAAAGTTTTCTTTGGTTTATTTTCTAGATGCTCAGCTGTTTCACAGTTAATAATATTTGCATTTGCAATGTCTGAAATTTCCTCTGCTTTAATAATCGAAGAATACCCCTTTACTGTTTCAGTTAATGACATGGTATTATCTTCAGGTTTGGGAGTTGGCTCTATTACTGAAACTATCATACCTGCTTTTTGGAGAAAATCTACTATTCTCCATCCAAATAGATGTTGAGAGTGGAATTTTTCCAACATATATGTCACTTATAATCGGATAGTCGGGACATCTTTATTTCGAATAATAGTATCTATATTTGGAAATATTCATCTATTCTGAAGCTCTTGAGGGAGACATCCGCGTTTTGCTTACAGTATATAGCATACGTGATAGTAATTAGATAGCAATAGTAGGTAACATTGGCCAGCAAATAACAATACATAACTGAATATATTTTTTACCCATGTGACCAATGATGGGAATCAGTTATGATTGCCAAGCCAGTATACAAATATTGCAATTGACCTGTCAAACTCGCGTTAAGGCCAACAAGTCAGCATAACCTAACTCAGCTATTTTATTACAATGGAAATCGGTTGGAAACGATAAGCCAACATATGATATCAAATGACATATAAAATGTATTCGATTTATCAAACTCGCAATAACAATATGGGGGCGTCATAACCTAATTCAGTTATTCTATTGTAGCGAAAATCACCCACGAACACCAAACTGGTATACAATACAGGTGAAATGTCATAACCTAATTCAGGTAATTCTTTCCAAAGAAAATCAATTAGAAAGTCAAATTCGATATCAATATTTTTTTTATTCACTCATAAAATTTCGTATAACAGATTAATGTTTCTAAAGGGTATACAAGTTATCTACTTATCTCTGTGTCAAAAAATATATATCACAACACATTACTCCGTATCATAAAATTTGGATTACAACACCTTAGTCTGTGTCACAAAATTTAGATCACAACACCTTAGTCTGTATTACAAAATTTAGATCACGATACCTTAGTCTGTGTCATAAAAATTGAATCACAACACCTTAGTCTGTGTCATAAAAATTGGATCACGACACCTTAGTCTGTGTCATAAAAATTGGATCACGATACATACCTGAGTGGAAATAATCTATATTAAGTGGAAATAACATAATTATGTTATTTCCACTCAAAGTTAAGAAGAAGAACTGTCACAGGTCTTTTTTTATACAATCAAAGAACAAATAAAACTTTTAAACTTGCTTGGTTTTTGACTAGAGGTTCTATTCTAATATAACAGTGGTCTTTAAAGTTCTTAAGCTTATATAGTATAATTGATATATTAAAAAGAAAAAGAAAAGTACTTCTTTTAAGAAAATTATTATAAAAGGAAATTTTCAAAAAATCAGTGATGAATAAATAAGAGTTTTTTTTTTGCTAAATTTAATTTTATTAAATAGGTATTTGTAAGATATTTTATAAGATTAAAAGTATTATTTCTACTATAAGTATATATATATTGTTTTATAATATTTATAAGTAGTTTTTTGTTATTTTTAAAATTTAAACTTTTTGTAAAATATTTTTATACTTTGCTTTTAAAAATTATTGAAGTAATTAAACCAAATTTTGATAAATTACTTGTATTAATATTGCTATTATCATTATTATTATAATTTATATAAGTATTATATTGTTACGAGAAAAAAGTGATGGGTAAATTATAGGAAATTATAAGGGTAAATATAATGGTAAGTATATTAAATATAATATATATAATATATAAAATGTATATAAATAGAAGGAGGAAGATCAGATCTTGTAACAAGTTCTACTCGCGTAATAAAGATTGTCTTTCTTGATAAAGTTTGGTTTGGTAAGAATATTTTCAATGTAGTGCAGTAAAAGGAACTACTGCACACGAAGTAACTTGATAGAACGCAGACCGACGGACTGATCTGTGTTGGCATTACTAGACTCTGGCCAAATTCACACGCCTCTTTTGAGAAGCAAGAACCCATCCAAATGTGACATGACATGAGTCAAACTGAAGCGACTAACTCGCCGTGTTTTCACCGTAACAATATATTATCAAATAAATTTTTATATTTGAATTGTTGAAAAACAAATTGTATTAATTAAAACAATTAAACAATAAAATTATAACACTAAAATAATTTTTTAAAAAAATTTTGTTAATATATAAAATTTATCAAAAAGTAGAAAAAACAAATATTAAATTTTTTTTATTATAATTTTTTGTACATTAATTAAAAAAGCAATTTTTTTTATTTTAATTTTTTAGCTAGTTCTATTTAAATAAAATCAAATAACTATTTAATAATTTATATAGACTAAGCTATATTTAATTCAAATCTGATTCAAATCTGATCAGACTTGAAATTTAAAAATTTGATTTAATTTGAATTTGATTAGTTCAAAAATTTTAAAATTCAATTCAATTTGATTTATATTCAATTTACAAATAATTAAATTTAAATAAAAATTGTAATTCTTAATTAATATATTATAAATTGAAAAGTTAATATTTTTAAATGTTTTTTTTTAATTGAAAAAAAGTTTGTTATTAATGATTTATTTATAGAATACTTTTTTATAATAGTTTGTAATTGTTTAATAAATTTTATATAAATTAATTATTACTTTTTTATCAATAGAATTAACAATTTTTGCAAAGAATATATAAGGATTCTTGTGATTTAAGAATTTGTTTAATCATGATTTTGAATTGTTTTATAGATTTTTTATTTATTAATTGATAATTTTATTTTTTATTTTGTAAATTGATTTTGATTTTTAATAATTTAAAAATAATTTTGAATAATTTTTTAAGTAAGTTAATTTGATTGTTTTTGACAATATATGGAAATTTGAGATTTTTGAAATTTTTAAGTATTGTAAAGTCTATTGAACAAGAAAATTGTGTTGTTAAATTGTAGATGTAAAATTTGATAGCTTTAATTTTTTGTAAAATGTTGCTCCTTTTTTGTAAAGGATTTGTAAAGGATTTTTGTGAATTTTTATTTTTGGAACTAGTTTATTTAGGGTTTTGGTAATGTTTGAATCGGAGAATTTACAAGTTTTTTGAATGTTTGTTTTTCAGGAAGTAGTTTCAGATTGTTGACAATGGTTATATTTACTATTTTCCAGGTTTTGAATATTACTTTGTTGAAATTGAAGTGGGTAGTAAGTGTTCTTTTGGAAAGTTTTGTAATTAGTCATTGGTTTAAAAAGATGACTTCAGAGTTTCACACAAGCCACTGTGCAGATGAAATGTAAACGAAAGGCCGATGAAATTGACGATAAGAATGGTATAGACAAGGTATGGAGAATTTAACTGACGCGGTCATATTGGAACCAGTGATCATAATATATAAAGGTAATAATATGAAAATTATGTCCTAGGTCGTATTAAAAAAAACCCATGATCGGGTAATCTCACTGAAAAATCATATTTAAGAATAGAGTCCGATTTAATATTTTATTCTTAATATTGTAAAAAAAAATCGAGTTGCTTAACTAAGAATATTAAAGTATTTAATTAAATGAAATTTATCAAGACTGTTTTGATTTTTTTTTGTTTTCATCAGCATTTTCACTTATAAACCTCTATTAGCTGGATAAATTTTCTACTTTTACTATACGCGAATTATATTCTTATTAAAATACTACCATCACTAATGCGCCTGCTTCATTGAGAGCTTTTTATTTTTGTGGAAAATATTAGTAATTTATTATAAATCAATAGATAAGTACTCTACGTATTTTAAGTGACCCCACCACATTAAGCCAAAAAAAACATAAGGATTTGACAAAATTTTTTGGTTCTGCTTCTCGAACTATTATTGCGGTTGGAATTTTACGAATTTTTCGAATGGGTTCTTCGGATCAATGTTCCTTAAATAAAAACAAAGTGGGGTAAGTGACCTTTTATGCTAGATAACCGAGCGACATTCATTATTAAACTTCCTCACCAGTTTATTTTGTAACTCCATTAGTTCATTGATTAATTTATATCCCGTTTTTTCATTTAACTTATTTAATCTTATAACATTCATATGGTCATTAATTTTAACGCATACTTTGTCCCAATTATTCAATTTGAAACTTCCTTTGCAAGACTTTAAATGGTTTAATAATTTCTCTCGAGATTTCTCTCTATCCCTCATATTTTCTTCCGATCTTTTCTCGCCAACTGGAGGAGTATTTATGTATATAATCTTGCAAGAATTAATCCAATGAAAGAATTTGGCATTTTTAATTTCATTTTCTTTCTTTAATTTATTTCGATCTTCTTCACATCGATCTTCGTTTTCAAAATCTTCAAATCGAGTTCTGACAATAGTAGTATACTTAAATATATCTTTTCCAAAAATAGCTTCAGCATATTCAAAAGTTTTTATATCTTCGTTAGCAAAACCTCCTATTACTACATACACTTGTTTTATTCCGTTCTTCATTATATGAATAGCTTCCGCTAATCTATATGTAATTTCTTTATATGATAACCCAGTATCGGCGAATCCAACAGTATCAACTACACGATAATTAATTTCTCCTACATTGAAGTTTTCAGTTTGAAATGTCTTGGTTTGGCTAACTGAACCTTCACTTTCTTGAAATCTATTAGTATTGCTAATTGTATTTGCTAAGGTGGATTTACCAGCACCAGTTATTCCAATTAATAATATATTTTCCACGGTATCTTCGTAGGTTTCATATTCATAGACACATTGACGTATCGATTCTGGATCTTCTTTTATCTTTTTAGCTTCTTTAATAGCTTCACTCTTTTTTAAATAGAAGTCCGTTAAGTTAGGAAATCTTTTGACTGCTTTCACTTGTATTCCCTTATCATCTTTTTCATAATTAACTAGTCTAATAGCATAAAGTGAGTCAAGACGTACAAAGTGATTTTTAATTAAAGTTTTGTTAATTATTATTGCATATTCTTTTTCCTCAGCAGAGAAAAGACTAGAATATTTCTTCTTTATTTTGCCAGCAATGTTAGCTGCTTCTGCTATTTCTTTAAGAGACATTATGCAATTATGAATTCTACGTGGAATAGTTAAATATGCATGACAGCTTACTGTATTACGGTAATATGCACAGTCGCCATATAAAGTAACGCCCTTTTTATTTTTAATTTGTGCGAAATTTATTATAATATATTAATAATTTATTGTTCTTCCTTTCATTTTTAGCACAGCATCAAGATTTTCCAATTCTTCTTTTAAAGCTATTTTTAGCTTGTTAGAAAACCTTGTGATTTTGAATTTTAACTTTCAAACATTCTTTATCAGATTCAAGTTTGGAAAGTTGCCGGTCAGGTTATGGTTTTGATTTTTTTTTATATAACCACTCTTAGGTTATTTTTATAGTATGGATAGGTACATTATTTTGTTGAAATATTGATGATATTTTCTAATCATTTTTATAATTAAACATGAGAAAAAATACAAAATTTTTTAATATAATCATTTAATGAATTCTTTTTTTTTATAATCTATCTACAATATTACAAAAAATCAAGAGTTCTTTAAACTCTCTTGAGATATGCATTCATATATTGCAAATAATTGATTACTTTTATTATAAGTGTAATAGCCAAGCAAGTTGTTTTAAATTTTTATCTACATATTATTAAACTTTTATTGGTTATTATTGTTTATTAATTTTATATTAGATCTATTTGAAAAAATAATTTTGATTCAATTGTAAACAGTTATATTATTATATTTTTTATATTATTTAATATAAGTCTTTATATATTTTTTTGAAATAAAAAACTTTGAAGTTATAATATATAACCAAAATTTTAATTTTATATGATATAATTTTAAAAATTAATAAATTACAATTAAGTTTCAACTTATCAATTATTTTATATAATAATAAATAATATTTTTTTATAATTTTATAAATTAATACATATTTTTTGAGACCTGTAAGTCCATAGTGCAATGATTAGTACTTCACAAGTCAGATCACAAGATACTGGTTCAATTCCAAATAAAGGTAATTAAATAGTTCCATATATACATGTTGCTGAAATTTGTAGATCCTTAATGCAATTGATGCAATTATTTGATACAATTAATTGAGTCACTATTAAAACATATAAATAATTGAGTCATAATACAATTATTTTTGAGAATTTTGGGAATTGAGTCAATAGCAAAATTATTTATATCACATGTATAGTTCCATATGGTATCTGGTACCATAACCTGTTATATGTTGTTTCTCATGCAAAGCCATTTCATATACTGATCTAGCAGATGTTGAGATTGTGTTCTCCAGAAAAGGTGTTATAGCACATTGATCATCTAGTTGGTATTACGATAATTGACATTGCATTTGATGCATTCTCCAGTTTCACATTGGTTATTTTCTCCCCTATAGTTCATGAGACTATAAAAGAAAAACCTGTTAACCCATTAGGCAACTTTGAAATGATTACTTAAAAACAAGCTAGAACCTTATAAGCATACTTGAAGATTCAAGGCCACTTTACAGGAGTTGCACTCTGCTTGATATTCATACCCTTAGATAGGGCTATTAAAAAGTTCATTAGAGTTGGTTTTTGAATCTGTTTAACTCAAATTACTTGGAATCAATACTTTAGATTCAGAGGGACTGTCTCAATATAGTCATATTATATATTAAATAGATGTAACCATATACAGTATATTAATCATTTATTGTTATTATTTAAGTTATTATTTAATTGAACAAAAGGTATTTAATAAATTAGGTAAGATTATTATATGATTTAATAATGTAAATAATTATTGTTAAAATGGCTTTGAAATATTGTTAAGATGGTTTAACAAAAATCTTTGAAGAAAAATAGTTAATATTATAATAATTTATTTAAAATTATAAAAGTAACATTTTTTTGTTTTTTTGATTATTAATTTATCAATATCTAATTTTGACTTATTAGATTCATCTACAAATTCATCAATTCTTCCATCCTTCGAAAATTTATTAGATTCTATATCTTTTGAAAACTCTTCAGTTTTAATAACTGAATATCTATTTGACACTAGTCTTTCCTTTGAAAATATATCAAGTTCTATCAAAAATAATAGTAATTTAGGAGAAGAAATTATTAGTAGTACTTATATTATAAAAAAAATAATAATAAATGAAAATCTGCTCCTATTTATGATTACCTTGATATACTTGAAGATGGTTCTCACAATTGCAAACTTTGTAATAATAAATGGAAAACAAACACATTACTATCAATAATAACTCACCATTTTGAAAATAAGCATCCATATACTTTTCAAAATCTTAAATAAAACACAAAAGTTACATATCTTTCTTTATATTTAACAGTTGAAAGAATTAAGAGAAATCGTATAGAATCCTCAAACAAAGATTTATGGAAATGGATTGTTCTTAGTCAGCAACCTTTTTCTATAGTTGAAGAAGCTCCTTTAATCAAGTTATTTAATAATTTTAATCCACATTATAAAACTCCTTGCTGTCAAACAATTTCTACAACTGTCAAAAAGCAATTTGATTTGACTAAAAATAAAGTATGTGATATTTTAAAAAAAAATTTATCAAAATTAGCACTTACTATAGATGTTTGGACTGGATATACATAACAATGTTTTCTCAGAGTTACTGTTCATTGGATTAATTCTGAATGGTTAATTAAAACTCTTTTTCTTGATCTTATTCCTTTATATAATTCTTATATGGACAATTATCTTGAAGAAATAATTTTTAAACTTGTAAAAGATCTAGAAATCAAAAATAAATTAATTGAATTTATGGCAGACAATACAACAAATAATTAAAGTAGTTTATAATACCTTCAAAGATTTATGAATACTAATTTTACATATGTACAATGTACAGTACATGTTTTAAATCTTGTTATAAAGGCAGAATAACAAAAATATGCTAGTCAAGTAAAAAAAACACATCAATTTTGCAACAAAATTTGAAATTCACCTTTATTTCTAGAAAATATGAAAAGAATTTCAGCTATTTTAAATCATTCATTTCTTCATCCTATACTTGATATTGAAACTAAATGGAATTCTACCTATTGTTATCAACGCCGGCAAGTCTGTCACCACTTTGGAACTAGGCTTGCCATTGACTTTAGTTTGGGGTCATCTTGTTTGCAATACCAAAGGTACTTGTTGATGTGATAATTCTCTGACTTTCCTTCTTTCCACTTGTTCCTCTGGCATAATCCTTCATTAATAGACTCGATATTGGCTACCACAGGATCCTTTAGGAGACAAGTATTTTATTAAGGTAAGTTTATTAATTATCGTTCTGCAAGTTACAGGTTTATTACAAGACAATTGACTCTCTTCCTATTACTACTCTAATCCTACTTCTATTTATATTAGCTGTGACACATCCACCAATCTATTGTCGTGTCATGCAAATCTCCAACAGACTTCCTAAACTTTCCTCCCCACATTAATGCATGAACTGATGCATCGCTTCACGTCACGTGACCTGTGCCGATCCTGTCCCTATACCCGATCCTACTGCTAACACTATCTTATGCTTGAATGGCTTGTCGAAATTCAAGATATTATCAATGGTCTTGTGTAATCATATCTTGAATTAAAAAAAATTTATTTAAATCCAGATAACTGAAAAATAATTAATAACATAATTCAACTTCTCAAACCTTTTTATAAAGCAACATTAGTCTTATCAAATGCTTCATTACTTACTCAAGAATCGTTACAATTAATTATTAAAGAACTTTTCGTACATCTTAACTATTATACTTCAAATATTAGTATATATTGTGAAATAGCATAGAATATGAAGAACAAATTAACAAAATATTGAACTTACCTTTCACAAACTTCAACTATTTCTGCTCTTTTTGATCTATTAATCAAATTTGAAACTTTTGATGATAAAAATCGTCAGGTGGCCACAAATCTTTTAAAGATTTCTTATTCAACATATCATATAGATAATAGAATATTATCATCTAAACAAAAAGATATATTGGAAATTTTTTGAAAATTAGTGCAATCAAATAAAAATAAGAAAAATGAAATCACAAATGAATTAACTATATACCTTTTCTTACCTCCAGAACTAAGCATAAATCTATTATTGTGATGGAAAACTAATGCTCTTCAATTTCCAATAATAGCTTGCATGGCTGCAGATTATTTTGCATTACAAGCCACAAGTGTTCCTTGTGAACATGTTTTTTCTGTAGCAAAAAACATACTTAGTTACAAAAAAAATAGTCTTTTTAAAGAGACAACAAGAGCCTTGATATGTTTGAAAAGCTAGATAGAAGCTAACATTCTATTATAAATAAAAATCAATATATTTTAAACAATAAAAATAATATTTTTAATTACTTACCTTTCAAGTTAAAAATTATATTTTCATGTACACTAAAATATTTATTTAAAGTATTATGTTATGATATTATATTATAAATGCATGCATATAAATGTACATATATAATAATTATATTATAAATACACGTGACTGGAATAAACTTGTCTTTAGACCAGACCTCAATTAAAGCTCAGCTTCAGGAGCCAATCGAACCAAACCAGACTTTTAACAGTCCTACCTTTAGATTTGGCAGCCTAAGCTAACTAAGAGCCTATGGAGTATTCACTAAAGGATTTAGGAATCACGTCCCACTAGGCCTAATGGTCTCCAGGTTTGGTAGTCTATGCCAATCATAGGAACAGTTCTTGGAGCATTTATTAAAAAGTGTAAAGCAGTAAGTTCTGTAATATCCAGTATGTAAATCGTAGGGTAAAAGTGATAGGGGACCTTAATGATAGTCAAAAAAAAAAACAGGTAAAAAAAAAACAACAAAAAAGCTCTCTGTAGTTCATGCTTGAGTATGAATCCACCTTCATGATGTAAAATTGGTACTTGGGTTAGAATAAGGGCAGTGCGTCAGTTAAATTAGACTGTTCATATAATGATTATTTGTAATCTGTTGATCTACAATAAAATCCTTACGTGTATTACACTTTAGCCCTTAAAAAAAAAAATTAATATATATATTTTTTTGCTTATTAAAAATTAAAAATTTTCTTAAATTTTTAATATTTTTGATTTTTGATTTTATTAATAATATATAATATATTTAACTATTATATTAAATATTTTTACAAGCTAGTTTATTGCTATTCTATATATAAATTAATACTATCCAATAATTATTGTTTTTAATAATATTAATAATATTTTTTTTTTTAAAAAAAAATAGGTAAATATTGTTACTTTATTATAATTATAAAATTGAAAAAAAATTTATATATAAAGAAAGTAACAACATCTTTTATGTGACCAATTGATCAGTAAGTTTAATGCTAGTTTGTCTATAGTAAACTATCTAAGTTGCAAAGAAAAAAAATATTAAAACCAATACATTGTCAAAAATAGTATTAAGCAGCTATGAATACCTACTTAAATTTATATATAAAAAAACGATAAAAAGTAGAAAAGAAATAAAATATTAAATAAAAAAATGAAATGATCTAATTGGAACATCCTGTTCCTGAAACAATCTCGATAAATCATGTAATAAATCATATGATATAAATTAAATTATAAATATTATTATTATTTTTTTTTATATAATTATTGATTTTTTTTATTTTAAAGCTTAAAGGCTTAAAATAAATATGGAACTTTATATTCAAGGTATAAATTATAAGTTTAAATATTAAAATAATAAATTATTTATTTAAACTATTTTTTTTACTATAGAATCTATCAATCAAACACTTTGAAATATAGATCTTTATATTGGTTATACTTTCGAATCATAGGAAGAGATTGATAGAATTATTAAAATCTATGGTAAACAAAAAGGATTTGGAGTTGTTCGAAAAAGATTAGAATTACATTCAGAGGGTTATATAAAACATTGTAGTTATAGATGTGAATTTAGTAACTATTATCAACCAAAAAAAATAGTTGATATTTATAGTCATCACAATCACAAGTCAAAACACCAAGGATGTGAATGGCATGTCAATATTAATTGTCCAAAAGATGGATTGCACATAACTCTTACAATTTTGATCGATATACATAATCACTTACTATATTCTGATACTCAACATTATGCACAAATATATCGAAATATCTTTGAGGATGTTCTTAATGAGATTCAATTTTTGATCGAACATGAAAACTTGACAATCAGCACTTAGAGAAAACTATTAAAGGCAAAGTTTCCAACTGAATCTATTTTGGATCATGATCTCACAAATGCTATACAAAAATTCAAAATTCATACTAATGAAAATCTGAATACATCTCGCTTATTAACAACACTCATGGAATGCAAATCACAAAATTATAAATGGGTTATAAAGTTTAAATTAGATAATGAAAATCAACTTACTCATTTATTTTGGATGTCACCAGCGCAAATTATTCTTTGGCTAGAATATTATGATGTTATCTTAAATGATAATATTACCAAAATCAATTGTTATCAAATGCCACTTTCCCTTTTTATTGTTGTAGACAATAATACTAGATTGCGTCTTGTTGCACAAGCTCTTGTATTAGATGAAACAACTGAATCATATAAAAGAATTCTGGAATATACAAAGAAAGTAACAATGATTGAACCTTTAGTATTTATCACGGATGCAGATCCTGCAGCAGATGCCACGATCAAACAAACATATGAAAACACCTATTCAATTCATTGTATTTTTCATATTAGTGAAAATTTACCAAAAAATCTTAAATCTAAGCTTCAGGATTAATACGAAAGCTTCATTCATGACTTTTTTTTATGTCGCAATAACTTATGTGAAGAAGATTTCTATAAACAATGGTCACAACTTATTGAAAAATATTCAAATGTTAAAGACTACTTAATGAGAGCACTTTATCCTAATCAACAAGCATGGGCCCACGCATTTACATCAAAAATATTTATAACAGGAATTCAAACTACCTCTTGTGTTGAAGGTCTTAATTACATTATTAAATGCATATTAGCAACAAATAGTAGTTTATGTGATCTCATTGATGCATTAGATACGAGACTTCAAGATGAAGTACAGTGGAATCATTTTTTCAAATATTACACTATATCATCCTATATTGGAATTGTGTCAGTTGGTCATGATATTTTTCTTGAAATTGATAAACAAATGGCTAAATACCTTACTCCCCATATATTATCTGCGGAATGATTGGAAATGGCACAATGTCTATATTTCATTGCAAGTCAAGTGGATACAAATGATTATAATAAAGTAAATAAAATTTAGTACAAATATTTAAAGTCAATTGAATATAATCAAATATTTCATTATTTTTAGGATTTCAATCTTAATGTAATGAATGAATTTGTTGAAAATTTATATGACACCAAACAAATTCTATTAAAATCAATGATTGCTGAAGTTGATGAAGAAAATGTTCAAGAAGTGTAGAAAATTATAGACATACAATCTGGAAACAACAAATACTCATATTTTGTCATAGTGGTTAATTCTATTTCATATCTCTATTCATGCATGTCTAATATATCTCGTGGTATTATTTGTCACTATTATTTCCAGGTGATGATGCATTCAAAAGTTGTAGGATTTCATATCCGAATGGTACCTATACAGCGGTATAATAATGAACAAAAGGATAGGGATATAATTACGAATATCTGTTATTTCACAAATCAAGAATTGGCGAGAAATCAATCAAACGAAATACTAATACCGAATCCCTCAATTATACCCAAGTTTGTAATGTGTGTCTTACATTATGCAGCATAATGAAAACTCAAATATGGAGAGGTGTGGGGATTGGCGTGACATGCAACTCAACTTGCTGTTGAACATGACAGTTATAGTGAGATGGTAGCATGGTTAAAAGAGTTTATTAGCCAGCACAAGAAAATGACAACTACATTTTCAGGATTAGTCCAAGCCAACGATACAAACAAGAAAAATGAACATAGACTAATTGAAAATCTATTAGTATTACGATGAAAGGGACGTCCGGAAGTCAAACACTATAAGTCAGCAACTGAAAAAAGAGGAAAGTCCTCACACGCAAAGTACACCTGCAGTACATGTAGTTAACCGGGACATAATAGTGTGACATATCAAAATCACTAGGTATTTATTTGCTTATTTATTCATTAGTTCTATCTATTTCTTCATATAAATAACTTTCCTTTACAATTGTTATATCTATTATAGATATCATGTAATTTGACGACAGGTTACAAGAAGAATAATTTTGGAAATAGGGGAGGGAAATTATATCAATTGAAACATAATAGTATAATATGTCAAAATTGCTAGGTATTTATTTGCTTACTTATTCATTAGTTCTATCTATTTCTTCATATAAATAACTTTCCTTTACAATTAAAACTCTTTCCCATTCCCCTTAATATTTGAAAAACTTTCCTTTTTAGGAAATTTTAATGAGACAATTTGAGGGCTTGTCAAGTTATCTTTTCCTTCAAAGAAACTTTTTCCCTTCCTTTATCACTATCGAAAATAAAAAACCTCTTCTAAAGAAGAAGTCTGGTTGTTCCCTTTCTGCTATAGCCTAAGAGGTTTAAATTGAGTAGTTCTAGGTGTTACAGGTGGAAAGGTCAAGGTCTAGGCATATTGGATAAAAGACCAGTTCTTCTTCTTCAAGATAAAGAGTTATCTCTGCCAAAATCAATACAACAAGCTTTTCATATATTAAAGACCTGTTACATATAAACTAACTTCAAGAGTTTGATTATAAAGACTCAAGCTACATAAGGATGGGACTTTTGGTTGAATTCCTCAAGATTGGATACCTTGTGTATGAGGGTTGTATAGAGAAAGGCCTTTGGTTTGTCATCTTTTTTGCTCATATACATAGAAACACTTTGGTTTTTTTTTTCTTTTCATAACAAAAACCGAAATCAGTTCACCTCCATCAAAAGATCAACATTATATTTCAACCAATCACACTTCACCAAAATCACATCATCTACAGCCACAATGACATCAACAACAACAATACCAATAATAATAACAACTACCAATAACTTCTTATCATACAGTATGTTAATATTAATTAGATAACTTTAAAGAGAGTGATAATGTGGACACTAACATATAAGTTTATTATGAAAGTATTAATAGCTTACCAAATATGTAGGAGTTACGTCCTGCTTGGCAGTTTTGTCCCTAGATTTGGCAGCTTAAGCCAACCGAATTTTTTGGAGTGTCTACTAGGAGATTCTGGAGTTGCATTCCACTTGGCCACTGAGGCCCTAGATTTGATAGTTTGTGCCAACCAAAGATTATAGTTTCGGAGCATTTACTAGGAAGTATATATTCACGTTTACCCCTTGCTGTTCTTATAGCTGTGTGAGCCAAAATTATGATGTGAAAAGTTCTGTTTAATATTAATATGTACTAGAATTTTTTTACTTTTATTTGTTTTCTTACAAATTGCATGGCCTGTCATGCATAAGGATTCTAACGATTCTCTTTGATTCTGTATTCGATTCTCAAGTTTATATTAAATTTAATAGGTGGAATATATCTCACCATCATTTTTAATAGTGTTCCGAATCTTATGCGATTCTGTTCGATTCTATTCGATTCCAATTTTCGAAACCATAGTCGTGCAACTATCTAAACAGTATATTAGCTTTAAACTTTCTTTTCTAATATAGTTTAGATAGATATCATTGGTAAGTTAGTATTTAACTTATGTATTGTGAGAGATGTAGGTTCTTTCTCATTGTTATATATTAATATATACAGAAAATAAAGAACTGATGTTTATCAACGTTAAAAAATAAAATAAAATAAAAAAAATAAAATTTTTTTATTGTTTATTTTAAATTCAAACAATATCTATTTTAATTTCTTTTATTATTATCTTTTTGTTTAATAAAAGTCATTTATAAAAACTATTATAAATAAATTATTTAAAATTTAAAATTTTTATAAATTTTATTTTATAATTTTTAAGTTTTATTATTTATTTTACAATTTTTAAAATTTATTATTTGTCTTATTATTTTAATATTTCAATCAATTATTAATATCTTTTATAATGTCTTTTTTTTTAAAAAAAAATTAAGACAATTTTTAATTAAATTTTTATTTATAAGAAATTATTAATTTTTTTTTTTAATTCCGCAATCAGATTGGTATTGTTTATTTATTAAATCATAAAGAACCATTACACACACAAGAATATATACAAAGTAAAAATTTCCTTGACCCAACTTACACATCTTTAACTGAAGCCTCTAGATGTAATTTATAGAGATGATATATTGTTTCCTAAAGAATAGGATTAAGATCCCAAATTTCCAATAGGATTAGCACCTGCAGATCACCTTCACAGTCACGACCATAAATCCAAATTGTGTCACCTCTCTTATAGAAACTATGCAAAAGGAAAAAGGAATAAAAAAGAAATTTTTTGATAAAGAGAAAAAAAAAAAAAGCTATGATCTATTTTAACTATCATTGAAAAGATTACCTTAGTGAACTTAAAATCCAAGCCCCTTATAGATTTCCACTTCTTATCACCTGTGACCAGTTAGATTATTAAATTTTCAATGGAGTAGCTAATGTTCAAGAATGTTTAAGGACACTTTCAGAAGAGTATTTCTTGAAACTTTATACTTGAAGACTTCTAACCAGAAAGGATATTGGTATTCTATTGTTGATTTCTCTCCCAAGTCATGTTTTCTGGAATCATAGCTTCACCCAATCAGTAGATAGTTTCAAGATCCTTTTTTCCAATCATTTCCGGGATAGATATCAGTACTTCAACTTGTTACCAGATTGGAATAGGACCTAGACCTTGTTGCTACTTCCTGTTTTCAAGAAAGAATAGGAAACAAAAAAAAATAAAAGGATGAAAACAAAAAGGGGTTGCTTCTTTTCTTCTCACAACTTCAACTTGAAACCATTCAACTCTTTCAGGAACTAATTACATCATTGGTTTGATATTGCACGACTGGAAACACATAAGGAGTACGTGTCTTGTTTACTTTTTCTGTGGCTGATGTAATTAACCAACTGTGACCTTGATCAATTATCTTTCAGGAAATCCAGTGTGACCAAAAAATTCAGGATCAAACTGAGGTAGGCAAAATTCTCCAGAAAAACTAGAAAAAAAGAAGCATGCTTGAGAAAAAAAAAGTGAGAAGCCAAAGAGATGATGAAAAGACTGGAGACTTCTTTATTCTTATTTCTCTAGATTCTTGAATCTTTTGGGAATCTTTGGAAAGTATTTTTTCTTGTCAGTTTTCTTCCTATAAAGGTGTTTTTGCCATAAACCTTTTAGATGGGTTTCTTGTATTTAGTTGCAAAAATAAACAAGAAAAGTGTTTTGAAAAATAAAAATAAAACAAGTGGTAGCTTCTGCTCACTTGGCTAGTTAAAACTAGTATTGTTTTTAAGGAAAGTGTATAGACTTTATTATTATAAAGACAAATAATCTTTTGAGAATATCTGTTTTTTGGATTGGCAAAAGGATCAGTGGAAAGAGTTTTTTTATTTTTTATTTTTTTTATAGTGAGGAAATTATTTTCTTTCTATAGAAGAAAGTGTAGAATTTTTTTACCACCAGGTATTTTTATGGCCACCTCTGATATGCCTGGTAGTTAGGCAACTAATATTTATCAGAATGATCATATCAGCCCTATTTCTAAAGTGTCAGTACTACTATAAGATTTGACCCCATAGTTTTTCTCAACACTCAGGGCCTTCTATAGGAGACAATTCCTCGTGTTTTTATAATAGATCTGAATCCAGGTTGTCACTGGTCAGGAACTATCTAATAACAAGTTTCTTGTCTATATTTTATACTGGCCCTTATAGATGACAGTGTCATGGTAGTCAGGCAACTAATGCTTACCACAACAACCCCTGTGAATTGGTCCAACAGGTATGTAATACTGTCACCTGGTATTGAACTTGCAATCACCTTACAGAGATACTAGTTCTTATATCAGTATGCTAAGTTCCCATAGGAACTATAAGAAATTATTAATTGGTACTATTATATATAATAAAACTAATATATTATATATTTTTTTAATTAAAAAAGTTTAATACAAAATTTAAAAAATTAGTTATTATTTTATTTTTTTTATTAATTATATAAGTAATAGGAAAAAAATATTAAAATTTATATTAAATCTTAAATAGTATTTAATGAAAAACTAGAAAGATTTGTAATATTCAATTACTTAAAAATCTTGCAATTAAATTATAAGTGAAATTTAATATATTTGCTTTTTAAAGTTAATTTGATATACAGTAAGTAAAATTGATAAAAAAAAAATAATAAATTAATTATTTTTATATATAAAAACATTATAGTTACTTTTTATAAATGGCTTTTTAAAAAAAAAACTCTTTTTCTAAAACTTTGCATTGCTCAAAAACTTTATTTTTTAGTAACTGGCAAAATTATTAAGAGAAGCAAAACAACAAGCACTCTTGGGAGCTTCTCTTCCAAGGGCAAACAACCAAGCACATCTCATATCTTTTTGGATATTGTAGTAATAAATATACATGCGGTATAAATTATTTGCTATTGACTCAATTCCCAAAATTCTCAAAAATAATTGCGTCATGACTCAATTATTTATATGTTTTAATAGTGACTCAATTAATTGCGTCAAATAATTGCGTCAATTGCGTCAAGGATCTACGAATTTCAGCAACATGTATAGTAATAAACCTTAATGAACAACTTTTTTTTATAGTATATAAGAAAAGCAACTCAAGCAATATTCAAATTACTAAATCAGCAAAAATATATTCATTCCAATCCTAATTGACTTCCTCAAATTTTGGATTATTTCTCTGCAAAACCCAAGTAACAACAGCCCTATACAAGTTGATACTGTCTTTATCAGCTTTAAACAAGTAACAACCAACTCTATCTTTTCTCAATTGTATACAATGGCTTCATTAACCATTAACAATTGAAAAGGCAACACCCAGAACAATTTCAACGACTTCTTCCAGTATCAGAAAAGGAATAATCTTGTCCTAAACATAAGGAAGACCATCACAAGGAAGGTTTTAAACAATAATTTCAACTATACTCTTTATCTTTCATAGAATCAAATTAACATTATTAAAAGTAAAAAGAAATTCAATCTAGAAAAAATTCAGAACACACCATCTCACATGTTACCCAATATGCCAATACAGAATAAGGAATTGATAATCATTAAACAAAACCCTACTGAAAATTTTGAAAAAAAAAAACTTCTATCTCAAATTTCCAAAAAAACTCCAAGCAGCTTACCCCTTTCATTGATCTATAGAACACAAGAAATTCCAAAATGGCAAAAATCAGCAGCATTGCATATGCACTTCCTGCAGCACAAGAGCAGTCTAACACACAACAAGCCATACAGTACCAAATACCAATGATATGCATAATCAAGATGACATGATATAAGTGGATAATCTTCACCATGTAGTCACTACTGATAATCAACATGACAAATCTGAAAACACAATCAGACCTACCAGTCCCTACTCTAATAACAACATATCAATGAAGTCTCTGAATACTACAAATCTAATTGATAACACTAGTTCACTTATAAAATTTGATTATCAAGTGCAAGAAGAGTTAGGCAATCTGCAAGAGAACATTCCTTCCACTTAACCAGACACTCTGAATTTGATACCAGACCAAATCAAAAGGAAAAAAATACTTGTTGTAGCCAAAATCAGCTGGTCAATCAATGATCCAAGCTTAGACAAAGATCTTGATAACTCCCATAGTTTCTCACTTATTGAAAATTCACTAGAAAAACCACAATCAGCCATGCCTCCAAACAATAGAGAAAACAAAATTGCAGAAATACTTTTAGAAAGCAACCATCTAATAGATGGCCCCAATGTTATATGTATAACAAGCAGCAACAAACCTTTTATTAGTGAATATGATACAATCATTGACCTAGCATTACAGCTCCTAGCCCGCCATAGCAAAGCCAAAGCAATAGCTAACCTCTTCAAGAAGATTAAAAATACTTCAAAGAAACGGTCATATAAGAACCTCATCTAGCAATTTTTACCAAAATCCTATTAAGAGATAGGATATTCTTTAGATTATTTACTAAAAATGATCTACTCAAAGGAAACCATCAAAAAGAGTATAAAGAACTAGAAACAAAAACATATGAGAACTACAAAAAAATCAATAACATTGGCTACATCAGCAGGAGAATCAAAAGGAAAATTAGATAAATGCTCAACTCATCACTACTTGTAGCTTGTCTTAGATTTATAGACTTGAACAAATTCAAATTCTACGAAATTACACAGATCCTTGAATTTGGATACAACTATTTTATAAAGGATGATGACAGTACTGTTGACTATATTGAACTACTAGATATAATCAAGAAAATATATACGAATCATTACCAGCTCTTTCAAACAATTTAGAATCTATTTCCTCCAGTA